TATTTTAGGGAATATCAATGTAAGAGGATCAGCTAAAGATAAGTAGCCCAGTTTAGCCATCATAATGTGAATGATTAGGTCAATACAGGATATGGTGATTTCTTTCCTCATATTTGAAGCAACAGTTATGTGCTGATGTTTGATATGCCTAATGTTTTATGCTGGATCGTATCACCTTTCTAGGTGCAAAATCTAATGGGTAATACAGCCTTGGACCTTGGAAGAGCTAATCTGGCAAAGAGTGGTCAGATAAGTAGGAATGCTCTCTGCCCATGCGGTTCTAAGAAACGATATAAAAAGTATGATTCTTCCATGCCTGATACTGTTTTATTAATGATGTTCTGTTGCCACTCGTTTGTTGGTGTTGTGTTTCCTTTGAAAATCAGATTGCTGCAAATTACATGTGCACTTACATCTTTTCTTTTAGATGGACAACTTACAGAGAATATAGTTGTAGAAAATCTGTAAGCGCACGGTTACTACTATCTTACCAAAAGGTAGATATAGATTTTTCAGTATGTACAAGATTTTGTTACTTGGCAGGGCTCCTGTCCTTGGTTCACTGAAATTTGGAGCGAGGAAGTTTGGCCCATTTGGTAACTTCTTTAGTTTGTGTCTATTCTTCACGAGTGAAAAAGTGAGATGCTAGGCAGCTGATATAGCTTGGTAATCCATGGAGGCTTGTACCATTTATGATGGTGCCTGGCACGTCATTCTTGTGCATTAAATACTAAATGGTGTTTCACTTGCTTGAACTTATAAGTGGTACTCCAAATCCTGATTGCTCCATTGCCACACATTGCCATACTCCACTTAGGCTAACCTAACCTTTTTTTGTGACTTTGGTTCCTAACATAATCCACATGTCACACATATGCTTTTACCAAGACTTGTAGTGTGTGGCGACCAATTTATTCGCCATAACTTAGGTGTGGCCAACTGTGGTAGCCAACTGAACACATCCTTCTTTTCCTCTTTGTAGATAGATCCAGCCTTCTTATTTCTTGTGCGAGTTCATATTCTTGCCAAAATAATGTATGCTGTTATGTTTCTTGTCTTGTGATAACACTCTTTTTGCTGCATGACATATGTAGGTGTTGTGGGGCTTCTTGAGGTGAAAACCCATGCTTTCCTTTTGCTTGCTAGCGCTGACTGGGGCAGAGTTCTGCTCTGCTGTGATCAAGAAAAGCACGTCGGGATTCTGAACCTAGACAGCGAGACTACATCAGCGGCTGAAAGAGCCAAACTTAATTGTCGCAAACCTGGCTGCGGGACTTGTAAAGCGCCATAAGGGGCTCTGTATTATGGGATAAACCTTTTCCTAAACCCTGTGATGTCTGGCCTTAGTTTATTTGATTTGCTATGCAGACAGTTCAAAGCATCCACGGGCATGGAAGCCTGATGTTTCAAACTTCCTATTGGTCAATTTATTGAAGTTCTATGTACATTGAGGAGCTGATATTCTTGCATCTGAACAAAATTACAGGAGATTTTGCGCATCCTGGCAGTGTTACACTCTCCCTTTGGGAAACACTAGCTTCTGTTCTACTTTCTTTTGTGATTGTATATTTGGATGACACCATTGCTTTATGGGTGGTACTGGAGAGTGCATCATGTCATGTGCACCAGAGCCCCGAAACACCCACCATAAAGTCTAGTCAAAACAAAAACGAAACTTGCGGACGTCAATTGCCTTGGGCAAACGAAATCTAGCAAATGGTGTCTGAGGGCACTTTTAAGTTCTGAATTTTTAAGTATGAAAAGAAATACTTAAATATCTTTTTTCCTTCTAATGATGTAAATAATTAGAGAAGTCTCTGTAGTAGTTAGCACAACCTAAAATTGAATATAATTGACATTGTTTTGAAAGCAAACGATATCAGATCCAGGTAAAGACTCCCACCACTTAACAAGGCACGTTTTTCCTTGGTCAGCAACTAACTAGTAGATCTTGCTTCAGTAATTCGATCTCAAGTTGCCACTCTTACAAGGGTGCCTCTATACCAAAACGAACTCTCCTCCCCACTATGATCTTCCAGTGGAAAATATAAGAAACAATACAGCCTCAAAACCAAGGTAACATCAGAAATCGGTTGCTTCTCAGGACGTGACGGGCAACGTATCGATCGAGGTACGGGGATATCTACAGAACAAAACTAGACCATCTTCAACTAATCCAATCTTTATTTGCTAGGCCGATCCCAAGTCGTCTCGGAAGTGAGGTTGTTCCCATAGTACACTTGCTTCGTAGACTCGTCTATGTATGCCTGCGAGCAAAGAACAGGTTGCGTTAAAAAAATCATAGCTATACTTTGTATTAGATTGTCAGCAAGAAACATGTATTTATTGGAAACTGAGATGCATCATTCAGTCTGGATGTTTTAGCTAGTATGGCAAAAAAAAAAAAAAACAAGTGTATGGAACCAGGTAAAATACTAACCTGCCACCCAGAAGGAAGACCCTTGGAGAGCTCTGAGAGATCAGGCTCCCCTTTGTGTTGTTCGGCAGCTGCACGAATAGATTCAGTCTTCGCTTCCTTCTTTGCTTCAGCTCTTTTGCGTTTTACACGGTCACGCCTACAAAAATGATGAAGATTACCAAGTTGAGCTTGAGTTACAAACTAGAACAATCCCAGTAAATCTAAAAAAAGATTAAATGCAGGTGCCTAACATTTGTAATCCTAGAAATGGCATGGTCCACAATCAATGCTATAGCAAGAGTTCAAGTCTATAAGCAAGTTATACAATCCATATTATTTTAAGTCAAGACTCAGAAAGGATAAATTTGAGAAAGAGGAAAATATGCCAAAGGCCAGTACTCCCCCCGATCCATATTAATTGTCGCTGGTTTAGTACAACACTAAACCAGCGACAATTAATATGGATCAGAGGGAGTAATACTTTGTTGTAAATATGAAGTATCAAGTTATTCAAGTCAAACATCATATGGTGAAGGAACAATACCAGTCACCACCAAGGGGAACAAAATTGGCATTTTCCTTGGCTTCTCCACTAGCTATTTGTTGCTTACGCCACCCCTGAAATTAATGAAACTGATCAAATCCAAAGACTTCAGAAGCATTTGTCATAGCGTATATGTTCTCAAGAGAGGTGAAAAGAGTTACATCTATTTCCTTCCGGCGTTTCCTTTCTAGGTACTCCAAAGCATCTTCAGGCTCCTCTTCCTCTTCATCACGAAGCTCCTCTTTTGCAGCTTTCCACTGTAATAGTGAAATAAAAGAGAGGTTGCTTTAGCAAAGGTAGATTAATAAGGAAACAATCATTATACATCAACACTCACCTTGTCTTAAGCCTTACCAATTACCATGTAAACAGATTGCTCTGCCTTTAAAATAAGAAATGATAAACATGAGACAAAATAGTCAGGAAACACTGTCACACTCCCACTTGCATGAGTCGTTTTTTTCTGGACGACCTATATTGTGCACAATGAAATAAACTGGCCAAGAACAGTGTGCTCTCTTGTTAATGACATAACCAAGAGTATGTCTCAACGGCTAAGTACACACAATTAGCAGTAATGCATATCATGCAGTGTGTTAAATTTCTTCATTAATGTCAGGACACCACACTAGGGGGCAGTGGATGGTAGGGTAGGAGAGAGCATAAATGGTCACTATTTTAACAGCAGCTTTGGGAGGTCGGAGAGATACCTTATCCACCAGACTTGACACCTTCTTATTAGATCTCAGTGATGATGCAACAGCAACAGGTCGCTTCTTAGTACGAGGAACTGCAAATCAGTGCAAATGTCAAAACTAAAACAATTATAAGCTAGTAAGATGAAGTGTCCTTGTAAAGAATAATAAAAGTACCTTTAGTCTGATTAGTGGTGCTAGTAGAAGCTTGAGTAGAACTTCCATGTACTGTTGGTCCTGAAGCTGAGACTGCTTCTACTGATTGGCTCAAAGACGCAACTGTGGGCTCCTTGGATATCACTTTATCAGACTCCACAGGATTCACATTACTATTTGCAACAAGGGAGGCCGAGCTTGTTTTGTTATCTAATTCACCACTAGAAATGGCAGAGGTTGATGAAGCATAGTATCCAGAAGATTCAGCCGCTACTTCAGTGGCAGCCATCGTGACGGAAGGATAGCTATAATAAGAACCTGGTACTGGGGGGATGGATGTGGTCTCAACAGGAATAGATACGCCACTTGCAGACAATGGTGCATAGTAAGAATGCTGCTGTGATTGAAGAATATGAGAATCGCTTGCTTGCATATAGTAGTTGGCATTTGTGCCATCTGTACCAGCAGCAGGATAGTACTCCATTCCTGGAAGCATATAACCCAAGTTTGCTTGATCTCCGTATGGCTGAGGAAGTGTATCAGCATGAACAAATGATACAGCGTGCTCTTCAGGTTCAGGAGGAGGTGGAGGAGCTGGTTCATTCTCAGGTGGTGGAGGTGGAATCCATTCCTCTTCTGGTGGTGGTGGAGGAGGAGGAATGTCATTATCCTGTGGGGGAGCAGAATCCTCCAATGATGACAAAGCTGGTGATCGTACTTGCTCTGATGAAGGATGCTCCTTATTTGGCATAGAAGTGGAACCGCCCTGCTCTTCAACACCTTCTTCATCGACCTCCATTTCCACGTCCATATCTTCATCACTGTCTGATTCAACTCTTAAAATAGCTGCTGCCACACCTTGTGAGTTCTGAACAGATAATGTTGTACATGGTTCCTCAACCTTAATATTTTCGTCGCCAGTACCTATTCCCAGAGTGCTAACATCAACCTTCAAATGCTCACCCTCAGAGGGTGCCATAACTTCAGCTTCATTAGGTGCTTTGTGTCCTGCATCCACTGTCTCCAGATATCCATGTTTGGTAGTGTAGCTAGCTTCAAACTTGGAAACTGAAAGTTCTAGTTGCTTAAGGTGCACCTCAGCATGCAACCACAACGGAAGTAAAGAAGATCCATACGAGGAGAGGGTATTACAGTCTGCTATTCGTATCTCAATTTCTCTTTTTATCAACTCAAGACTGTCAATGGCAACATGTGGCCTGCATGATGACATGGAAAAATTAGTTACGCAGTTCTGTGTAGAGGAATGGTTGAAAAGGGTAAACTGAAATGGCAAAAGGATGATAAAAATAACAAGCACCTTTCCAGCAGCTTCAGTCTTTGCAGTAAATCCTCACCATATTTTGCAAGCTGCAAGGGGTCAATGTCCACTCTCCCATGACTAGCAACGGCTCCAGTGTAAGCATAAGGATCATGAGTATAAGTTCCCATAGCAGTATAGGTTGCTGTGCCATTTCCAACAGACACATCACTAGGATATGCTTCGACATTACTGTGGGGAAGGACATGTGCTTGAGCTTCTACAGAGTACCCCATATGAGTAGGCACAGATGCAGAAGTGACTCCATCAGCAGCAACTACTGAAGCTAATCCATTAGGAATCTCCCAAGAAGTTTCTCCTGTAACTGTGTTCCAGTAGTAGCACTGGTTACTCTGTTCATGCATTATAGCCTTCCAATTCCCACCAATGTCACCAACAATTTGCATGCCAGATGAATCTGGGACAGCTTCCGTAGCTGTCACACATTCATTTTCCAGAGTTGGCTCAGGGGCAATAGTAAATTCCTCAGCAACATTTTCTGTGATATTTTTGACATCATCAGCTTGAGATACCTCCTGCTGAACACTAACAGAAGCAGGCAGTTCACTATCTGCATCGCCGTTATCCCCAGTTACATCACCATGATCATGAATAACCTGAAAGTGAACAAATTTCATCGTAAGACGAACTGAGCTCAAACTTCTTAATCTGAATAATCTTCTCTGCAAGATAAGATACTATCGTTGAAACAGAATCATACGGGTGCTTAATACCTCCAATCTACAGAATACAAATCATGAACTATTTGGAGGCTTCAGCTAATATATCAAAATGGGTTCAGCATATATGGGGCTTACAATACAATATACAAGAATCTTCAGATTAAATGGTTAGCACAACAAAGTTCAACCTGTTTGGTCTTGCATAAGAAAGTTCAACTTCAACCTGTTTGGTCTTATAGGGTACAAGAGAATAAATAGGAGATTCAATTACCTCGGCACTTGCATCTGTTGGACTCCCCTTAGTTTCACCATTGGGTTGATCTGTTGCTACTTCATCCTCTTCTTCATCATCACTATATTGCCCAAGCAATGCTAGAGGATTTTCCTTCTTATCTGAAAAAATAAATTCATAATTAAAAACGCAAAAGCTTTCATGTGACACAATCTATATTGCACTATTTTCTGAAGTATATGTGAGGATCAACTCAGGTATAAAAGTAGAACAAGTTCGTTAAAATTACTTTAAAATGCACCATGGCGGCCCAGCAATAATTAAAATACCAGGTTAGGAGCTACAATATAAAGAAAGAGACATACGAACCGAGGAGGCAACAATCATCCTGAAATCCCCACGCTCAGATGCTGCCAAAAGAGAAATTACCGGAAGGAACACACCCAGTTTTGACAGTGGCAGCCTGATCTGAAGAATTTACTTAATGTTCCTTGCAGGCCGGGAACCCTACATGTGCCTCAAACCAGAAATTTGGAGCATACACATGCTTGAAGAAAATTCCAAATTTCCACCAAATTTACGTTCCATAGGCATGTGCCGTCTTTACATATCCCTTGGAAGGAAATTGATTGAACCCACCTGACGAAGATGGTGAAGTGGGAACACCAGTTTGCTGCCCACGGTTTTCCTCTCCAACTCCCTCTTTCATAGATGCCTCCCCTGCAATGCAAGTTTAAAGTATCAGCAGTCAGCTTGTTCAAGGTCTATTGGATATTTGGAGTGGCATTTTATGCTCAGTAGTTATACTACTGCAATCATATGTTGCTACTCATACTCTTGGGCATTCAAAAGTGCAACAAATAGCTGATCTCTACAATTATAAGGAGTGGGTTCCAAAAAAACTGTTAACGATCCTTCCTTGATTCCATCTCTTTTTTTTACCAGAACTGGCATATCGCATGAGGTGATGTCATACATCACCTCTGTTGATTCAGTTGGGGCAATGTAGAGCAAATGCAGAACCCAGTAACCAGGTCTCTCCATAACCAAACCCATGTTTTGGGCTGAGCAGCAGCATTTATTTAACAAGGGATGTAACGTAGCTGTACATGCACAGATTCACAAATTTCATTACCAAATTTTATTTGTTTCCTCAGGTTATATTTTAAGTTTTTATCTCTGCTCATTGAAATGGAAATTGTGTGCTCCTTTTCAGTTATTTTTCATACAACAAAATATTGAACTGCTAGCTTCAAACTCCAAAAATGCAGATTGATCTTTACTAGTAGTTTTGGTGGCTCTCACCCCAGTAATCTAATATTATAACCTTCACCACTTAAATTCCTATAGTAGAAACATCTTGGATTATGGTCTGATACAAGTGCAGCATATGGTGCTGATTTAGGAGCTGCACTGGACATGTTTCTTCCTCGACTCAGGCAATTCCCTATATCCCTGAACCAGTAATAACTTGTTTAACACGCGGTGAAATATGCAGCTGAAAGTGATACTGAAACTCTATATAGTGCACACAGGTTTAAGATCAGCCTAGGCTAGCAAGCCACTTCTCCTTTTGTTTTAGGTTTTAGCCTCATTGCCCCTTCTTGTGTGTCAATTACCACGTCCAGATTCTACTGGTAGAGCTGGTGATTCAAGGTGCATCCACTTAATCAGGATGGACAAATTCAGGCAGCCAAACAATCACAAACCATGCAACAGGATAACCTTCGAGTGTTCAGAATATAAACTAACCGAGTTCCATTCAAGCCTGCCCCGATTGCAAGCTAGATAATCGACGCGATGAAACCAGCAACTAGACGCACATCAGTCGCGAGTCGACCAAGCACAGACCACGGAGGAAAACCGAACCCGGGGCAGGGGCGGAGAACTCACCGGGGGAAGGATCGAGGAAGAGGTCGAGCTTGACCCTGCGGCCCGAGGCCGCCTTGGCCGCCAGGCGGCGCTCCTTCCGCCTCCCCATCGCCGCTGCCCCGAGCAGCCGGGCGCGCGCCGGGGGTGGAGAGATGGATGTCTTCTTCTAGGGTTAGGGTTCGGAGGGTGACGTCGGGGGTGTTTTACGCCGAAAAGGGAAGCGGTGCGAATCAGGAGGAGAGGCGATGTGGAGGGAGCTGGAGGCGGGTGGGCCGCTTCGGTGGAGTTTTTTTTGCTCTGCACGTGTTCTCGTTTCGCTTCGGCGGAGAGTCGAGGTTGGGTGGGCGCGGTTGTCTCGGTCTAAGAGCATTACTAGTAGAACCCTTAAAACCCTCAAATTCTTAAAGCATTTTTAAGGGTTGAGAAGTGTTACTTTTTGACATTTTTAAGGGTTGAAAAACAGGGGCAAATACTAGAACCCTCAAACCCAACCCTTAAACTGCTTTAAGGATTAGATTTGAGGGTTCTAGTCTTTGCCTCGACCCCAACCTTTAAATCTATCATTTGACATCTCACAATTTATGACAAACAAGAACATAATCAACTTCCAAACAAACTACCAAACGACAATCATTGATGCATGGTTTAATAGTTTACATCACAAAATCATCATCTTCCTCCTCTCATCGGCACCATCACCAAAAGTTGCACCTCGGCGCCATCTCCTAGACCACAAGCGGGCTCCGTCAAGCATCTCCATCGGCACCGATGGAGTCGTACACACCGCCATCACCACAACTACTCATCGGAGTGTCACCTCGAAAAGTAGATCCCGCAACACGGAACATCCTCTTCCTCTCTGCGATGTCCTCCTTGTAGTCCTTCCACCATTGCAATTGGTCTTGATCCATGTCCTTCTTGGACATCATCATGTGCTCTTTCTCTTCCACCATGAGTTCTTTCCATACCTTTGCCTCTTTGAGCTTGATCATCCTCTCCTCCAACTCGGCCTTGCGCTTTGCTTCTTCACGCTTTGCTTTAACTTGTGCAAGCTTGACCTCTTTCTTCTTCTCGGTGATAAGAAGCTTCATCTCCAATGTCTTCGTTGTCAATTCCTCTCTTGCCTTCATCATGTGGTTCATCTTCTCCCTTAGACTTGACGCCTCTTCTTCCATCTTCACCCTTAGCTTGCCCTTCTTGTTTCCCTCGGGCTTGCCCACGTTCCTCTCCTCCTCATCTTCATTATAGTCCATCCTTAGCATTGCCGACTTCTTGGGTGCGGTCTCTTGATCCCTCAACTTCCACTTGTCAAAGGTTTGAAGAATTGACCAAACATGCTTAAATGGGAATGGCTTGCCCTTGGAAGCGGCCATCTCCTTGTACCTCAAGCCGGCAATTGTCTCCTATCAACCACACATAAATCACATAAGAACCCACCAATAGCATAGTGCACACACATAATCAAAATAGTGAAGAAATATGTACTCACATAGTCACTCTCCACGGTTCCACTAGGTGGTGCATCCCTCACTTGGTCCATGGCCGCACTCCAACGAGAACAAGCGGGCTTGATCAACTCCCACCGGCCTTCAAGCGACCGGAAAGTGCGATGGATGAACCCACTATTCTTCGGCTTGATCCTACAATAGACGTCCTTGATCCTTTACCAATACAGTTTACCGGTTTGATCGGTGCCGGTGGTTGCATCCATTCCCACAGCTGCCCAAGCACGAACCAAGAGGACATCTTCTACCTCGATGTAGTTTGTCGACCGCGCGTGTGGGCGGGAAGCGGCGGTGAATGCCTCCATCCCTATCTCGGCCACCTCCTCCTCGTCATCCCCTTCATCCTCCTCATCTTCCTCCAAGTCGTCACCAACCCTAAAGGGGTCTAGAGGCGAAGCTCCAAGGTTCACCTCCGCGTTTTGGAGGAGGTCCATGAACGAGGATGGGGTTGCCATTTCCTCGAACACCTCGTGCGCGGCGGGAGGAGGTTCGGCGACGGTGGCGGGCAGGGCCGCGGCCGCGGCGGCGGGCTTCTTCCGCGGCTTCTTCACGGCCGGGGACGAGCCGACGACCTTGGAGGAAGCCCCTCGAGGCCCACGGCCGGCCGCCTTCGGCCGGCTCTTCTTGGGGGCGGGCGCG